ACTTCCTGCAGAAGGAGTTGCTACTACCCTGGGCTGCTTTGAGCTTTCTGATCACACGCAAACTCCTCATTTGGCTCCGACTCCATTCCGCATCCACTCTCTCGCCAAGTCATCTGATAATGTAGCTATAGCGCTTCTATCTTCTCGCTTCTATGGAGACCCTGAAGCTGCTCCAACGCAAACAGTAACAAGTCACGCGTCTGAATTTGACGTCTGGGCTGCGAGATTCTCGCTGCCTTTTCCAAGTCAGAACGGCGATCTCGCCCCCATTGACATTCTTTGGAGGAGGCGGGGGCAGGATGTACCCATATCCATGGATTATGATAACTCTCGAAAATGCTATCTTCTGGCTGGTAGCTCCGTCTATCGTGAGCTCAACCAGCCAGCCCCACCCTCGTACGAACCCTCGCCAGATGAAATGGCCCCTATTCCGCGTCTGGATGAAAAATTAGACGTAGAGACTCCCGCCAGACCTCCATCATATTCCTGGACACAGACATCCGACTCCGTGACAGTGGCCTTCCCTCTCCCTGCAACAACCCCAACATCAAGCATCAAAGTGACGTTTTCCCAAAAGACCTTGACGGTACACGTCCAGAGCACATCACATGTTGAAGGCGTTTCCCTTCCCCACTATTCTGCCCAACAGCTCTGGGACGGCATTCAAACCTCCACCAGCTTCTGGACTTGGGATCGCGAGGGAGAGCACTCATTTGGATTGCTCACGTTGCATCTGGACAAACAGCATGAAGATGCTCGATGGATGCATGTATTTGCATCTGCGGGTACACCAGGTGGAGAGGAGGAAGTTACAGAAACCCTCGACCCTTCGGAGCTCAACCTCATCAGAGAGTCTTTGGAAAAGTACACAGCCGCACTCCAAAGTGGGGAGGATATGAGCGGGCTTGGACTGGGCAGAGGGGTACCAGCGCTTGCTCAGGGAGAAATGGATGAGGAAGTCGACTCTTCGGTTGGACGAGTGGCATTCCTGACGTGGGTGGGTGAGGATGGAGGGATCCCTGTATGGTCATCTGGCGCTGGTGATTCTGCATGCAACGTTCTGTCAATCGATCTTCCTGGATCGGGTCCTGGAGGATCTATGGTTGTGAAGAATGGTATTGATGGTGCCCTGTTCACCCTGGATGAGGCACAGACTACAGGTTCTTCGCCCACTTGGACGCACAGCGCGACCTTCTCGGCGCTCGCCTTTGTGCTCGCCTCTAAGCAGGATACACGCTTCACGTATCATGTCTCATCGAAAGCGGTTTTGGCTTTCGAGAACGGCAGTAGGGATCGAGGAGGGAATGTATACATCTACCGCGGTGGGCATCCGGGTCAAATTTGGGAAAAACAAAGTGTATTGAAAGTTGGCGATGGAAGCGCTGGTTCTTTGTTAGGTGTCGGCATGTCCAAAACGGCGCAGGGGCACACGATCGTCTGTCTATGCGAGAACGAGCTAGTCGTGATGCACAACATCTTTTGAATAAAATTGGAGGAAAGTACAGTGGACAGCCTGTAGTTCGAAGTATAATACTTGTGATACTACAGGAGGGAATCATGACCGTCAATATTTGAAGGCGACGGTAAGGAAAGATAGTAATAGACGAAGCACAAGGTAACACACAACACAACCATCGACAGGTGAAAGGAGAATTAGAACATATTGAGAAATACAACTATGCCTTCAAAGGGTCTTCACTGGAGGGCATCAAGCCGTCAACGTTCATCGGAGCGTCACCTCGGATAGGCACCTTGAAATGCTGGACGGGAGTGACGTCTCCGTTGAGTTTAGGATTTGGCGGACTAGGTGATGGGCTGGGGGATTTCGGGATACCGTCATTTACATCATCAAATGGACTAGCCCCTTCGTCGTCATCCTGGACCTCCTCAATCCGAGCAACACCGTCAAAGCGCCCATCAGCGTCTTCATCGTCAAATTCATCGTCAACCTCAAAAGAGGCAAGACGTGCTCGCAGACCAGCTCCAGCGTCCGGTGGCTGTGCACGGGGAAGCCCAAACGTGTCACTGAAGAATGAGCGTCCGCTAAAGGACGTGTCCATGTCATCACCACTGTCGTCCTCATCATCGTTACTGGCGAACATGAGGCGACCAGCATCGCTGAGAATCCCTGATCCCGGGTGGAAAGAGATGCCACCAGTGCTTCCCAAGACACGAGCAAATGGACTGTTTCCACCAAACAAACTGCCTGCCGAGCTGTCCTCGCCTCGTTCCCTCCTCAGTTTGTCCCTCTCTTGCTGCGCTTCTCTCCGCGCTCTGTATGTTGACAGTCGATCTGATGAATAGATTTGTGGGATAGAGTCAGGTGTTGAATAACCGTAGTTGTTCTTGACACGATCTTTGACCCAGTCATACCATTCTTGCTTCGTCCTTCCGTGAAGAAGAGCCACGATGAGGACAGTCATGTTATCGCACCCGATACCTGACCCAGACGAGGTATCCGGAGCAAGACAATGCTCGCACATCATCTCTCCGATCTCCCTGAGTTCCAAGCCCTCTGAGACTTTTAGCCGGACAAAGTCAACGACGGCTTGCGAAGATAGACAGTCCCAGATGCCTGACAAAAAATTAGAACCACGTCGTAATTAGGACTCGCTGTCTTACCATCACAGGCCAGGACCAGAAACTCGTCTTCGCCTGTGATATCGTGAACGGTGACATCAGGATCAGCTGTAATAATTTGTTTTTGAGGACCAAGTGCATAGTTTTTCTTGAACTCAAAATCTCCCAAAGCACGAGACAACGCAAGGTTTCCTAGGAAGTCCATTATAAGTACAGCCTCGGAGAGTGATCGGACGACTCACCATTGACGCGTCCATATTCTACGTATCCTCCAGCTTCCGTGATCCGTTTCCGTTCAGCTGAATACTGGTAAACAAGGATAATGGCACAATAGTCGAATGATCAACGTACTCTCGCTTGATGGTTTATGGTCAAAACTCAAGGCCTTGGCATTACCTTGAACGCTAAGGACAGACCGGGAATCGCCAGCATTTGCCTGTCAGGCAACCGTTGGCAAAAAAACAATTAAATAGGAAAAACTGCTGTACCACATAAATTTTGTTATCGTCTGTTATCAAAGCAGCTACAGCAGTACAACCTGACGGGTCACGGGTATGCGACGGATCTGTGTTGAAATGAGCGGGGTATGCAGAGACAGCAAGGCGATATGGCGTACCAGCAAGGAGATCTTCATCGGTGCCCAAGAACGCTTTCTTGAGCGCTTCATCATAACGCTTTTCACGATATGCCTCTTCTGAAATTAGTCGCCTGTGAACATTTCTCCCCGCAAACCTCGCGACGGTACTTCCTGTGAAGAATCAAACTGAGCTCGAGGCTATAACCGCCAAAAAAATTAGCAGGTAGTTTACCACCGTGTCCATCATAAACAGCAAAGAATGTGTTTTTATCTGTTGTATTCTCTTCAAGGGTTAGCATGGTCACATGGGCATCCTCCATAGCTGCAATGAGGATACGGATACATGATATGTGAGATCAAAACCGCAGCCAAAAAACTGGTGACGCACTAATTCTCCATCCTTGCATCTCAGAAACTGCAAATAGGTATCGATCATCTTCTCCTGTGTCTGATTTCTTCTCTGTAGCTGTCGAAAGAAGTGTAGGTCATGAATGTGTTTCTTGGAGTAAAAACATAGGCTGCACAAGGACTCCCTACCTGGTGCTGAGAGTGTTTGACCCTAACGAACGGCCGAAAGTGAGACTGGCCGTGTAATGTGATGAGATGTGTCAGAGCATACCATGGATCGCTATTGATGGGGAAAGACGTAAGAAAGCAGAGAGTGATCGCTTAGCCGATGAACCGAATCAGAACTGTGTAGACGTCAGACTGCTGCAATTTCCTGGCTCAAAGGGATGTAAATGAAGGGAGAAGGTAAATTTTCAAGAGGATGCAGATATGGTCTATGCTGGTCAACGAGCACAGCAAGCACGCAAGTCATTCCTATTTTGTCTTGTTTGTCTGCTAGGGTTTTCAGCCTCGGCATAGCCTATGATCAGTGATCGGTACTGGCCGCATCTGAGGCTCCATGCTACTTTGTAGGCCCTAGTACGTACTACGCTTGGCAAATCCGGGGTAGGATAGCCAGCAGCAGCAACAGTAACAGGGTACGTGGTAGCAGAGCATCGCGTAATGACTTTGTTGAATCACAATTAAATCAGGTTCTCAATTTCGCCCTATGACCGTGACTGGCTAGTCACTGGCTGCGCCGTGACTCTGGGCTTGTGCATGTGTTCTACTATTATTGAATTGGCTAACCACAGAGGACGTAACGTATCAGATTAAAAGGCCTAGGTCAATAGCAGGCTCATCCCGGATTGCAGGCTTCTAACGTCCTGTTTCAGACTTTCAAGCTTGTCTTGTTGCCAGGTTGTCAGTTGTCCACGAGTCGTATACCACGTATACGTGATAAGACTGACAAAATGTGCCGTTCTTCGTCATTCTAGCTCAACGTCTGTGACGCCATAAAACCTCGTGTCGTCTGGTGCGCACCAAAGTACGACCGCCCGGTCCGTATATTCTCCGTCATGTGGCTGGCCTACTTAAGTGATTCGGAGCGCCGTGATAGTCCTAATGTTTTCTTAGCATCTGCCGACGATCTTAAGCATACGCAGAACGCTCAACCGAAGCTTCCGACTTACCGCAAAGTACGTGAACTATGAGGTGGCATAGTGAGATAAAGATGATTGCAGGTCGAACTTTTCTGAAAAGTTTCATCACAGATTATGAATATGATCAATACGATATCGCTTACCGGGGCAATCGGTTGCTTCTCGCTTTATCCATTCCATGCCGTAAATATTCAGAAGTTTCGACATCGATGTCGTATTTGGAAAGGAAGTTTCCGCTAGAAAGCAAATTATGCCGACCTGGCACACGACCACTTTGTCCTCTCCTGTTGTCACATTATTCTCATTTGCTACGCAGGCCCGTGCGGAGGGCGCAGGTGAGTTATCATATCTTCTATCTTTTTCGGCACAGCTTATTTCCACGATCCCCTCTTTTGAGATCATTGGCTGATAGCCACGAATATCCGCTGTCATATTTATCTACGCTCGGAAGTGTGTTGTATGGGCAACGCCAACTCTAACCTCACAATGGACACCTCACATCATACATCGCACAGCAGCTCCGAGGTATGTCTTAAAGCTCGATATTGACCCCTTCCTTACATGTCCGGCTTTGTAGCACCATCAAAAATATGTGCCTGTTGGTTATAGGCGCAAGCGGACGTGGAGCATCTCGATGACCTCCCAATCGTCAACTGCATCACAATTTCCCCTTCCCCAAAAACTCTACGAAGCATCCCCTGCTGACGTCGTTCAAGGCGACCTCCAAGCTCATGGCTCATTTACCACTACCATACCAGCGGTCTTCTGGCTCCGCTCGTGTTTTTCTATTCATTCCAAGCCACGTGGGAAGCGACTGGACACGGAGTGGGCGAACGAGCACAACTTTGAACTCCCCGATCTCCCTCGATCGCGTTCTCGTTCACCCGTTCGTCCATTCGTAAGCCGCACGTCCTCTACTCTATCCTCACACGACTCCCCACCTGCATCACCTCTTGCAGATAATATCTCTACGCTCTGTCCTATTCTTGAAGCTATCGAGAATGCCTCGAAGTTGTCGTGCCGCACTGTGTGCGTCACATGTTTGAAAACAGGTAGGGACTTCCCACACTGTCCCCGGTGTGGTGATACGTGGTGCTCCAGGGAATGTAGGATGCAGGGAGGGAAGAGACACGTCTGCAGAACGTGATTCCTCTATGGTCCTGCAATGAATTTCCTCGCCTATCCATATTCTCTCCAAAATGCTTTCCACAGCTTTTACTGGTCATATGCCATAAAATTCTACGGCGATTCTTTACGCACCCATCATGCTTCTAGGCATTCTTTGTTACGCACGGGCCAAGCTTCTAGGCAGTTGTCTTACGCACGTTTCATGCTTCAATAGCTTTCTTTGATACATGCGCAATGCCAACTGAATCGGATTATGTATATATTGGATTCGTATGATGTCGTGTTTTCGTGTTCGGATGACGTTTAAGACTAAGTGAAGACAATTCTTGTGCCCTGCGCAGGCACAATTGCAATATTTTGTTGTTTCTTCTTAGCCTCCCAGGATGGATGAAGCGGTTTCTCTTCCTTACGGTTACCTGCCATGAGGGATGCGGATGCGTTGTATCTGTTCTTGTCCGGTATCCGGGCATTCTGCTTGTGACCGGAGAACGGCGCGCCATCGGAATCGCGATTACCATTCCTGTGCTGTCGCTGATCTTTGCGCACAACCACAGTGCCGGAAGGGGCATCGGGACGGGTAGAAGTTTTCTGCTTCATCACATGATTGGCATGTCTTCCAAATTTCTTCTCCCATATTCTGAAGAAGAACTATGTTATAATTGTTCCAAAATCAAGCCGGAAACTTACGCCCTGCGTGCCCGCTGACCACGTCTATTCTTCTTGGCTGTGTCAGTTGCTTTCTCCTCACTGTCGCTAAAATCGGTGTCCGAGTCTCCGCGAATAAAACCCACAGAAAGGGAAGGTAGAAAAGTAGATTGTGTTGCCTTTGATTTCCCCCGATTTGCTGGTTCGTGAGGGACAGGGAGGTCATCACCACTATCGGAGGTGGAGCTGTATTCCTCGTCAGGCCCTTCATCGACCCCCGAATCTCCCTGGACAAAATGATCGCCGTCGCTAACCGTGCCTGACTCCCAGCCATCATCTTCAAGATTTGCTCTTGGTTCATCTTCAGAAGGAGAATCCACCGGAGAGACCTTAGGCAAGCCCTCATTCTGTCGTGTCTTCTGTTTTTTCTTTCGAGGCGGTGATACTTCGGCGCCATTGACTTCTGCGTGGTAGACCCGCTCCGTAGGGTGCAGTAAGCGCCGGAGCCCCTCGATTATACGAGAAACTTCAACCGCTAGGATCTTGGAACTAAGTAGCCTGCTTTGGACTATGCCTGCTGTGGATCCAGGTATAGCGGATGTGATTATGCTGGAAGACAGTGACTTGGATATCGCAGATTGCAAGCTGGGATCCTGTGAAAGGAATTTGTCTTTCTTGATTTTTGTTGACAGAGCTGAGTCGGCAATAGGCCCGGAGTCGAGTTGCTGGCAGACTATTTGATAAGGACATATATCGGATGCATCGTATGTATTCACCTTGAGAGTCATATGCTGTGCTTCGATATCTTTGACTACGTTATCGTCGCCTTTGCGCCTGGAAGATAAACTGTCAGAAAGTCACTCTGTTAAAATGACGAAACCAATCACACACCTTGCATCTTTCATTTTCTTCAAAATCTTTTGCATCTCGAAAGTTTTTGCCTTCTTCGCAGCTTTCCTGACCTCCCGTGCATCATGATGCTTGATGAACAATCAAGGGTTAAGATCTTGGGTAATGCGAATTGGGAAACGAGACGTGCCAGTTTTTTCTCTAACTTGGTCCCGATGTTCTAGTGTGCAAATGAGTAAACCATTGCGTGAAATCTCGTTTGTAATGCGCACCGTCTCGTCAGTTTGATATTCTCTCTTTCTCTTCGTCGTTCTTACTGGCGCCTCAGCAGGTGACATCGATGTTTGTTATGTCTCCACTAAGCTAGGGTTCATATGATATGATTGAAAGGTTGAGAGGTCGGTGGACGATATAATAGGTTAGGTTCATGTATCACTGTAAAAGTGCTCCATGGCGCTTAGCGCACATTGAAGCCGCTGACGTAAACAGACCGCTACTTCGTCAGATCACTGGGTTTCGCGCATCAGCACGGTTGACTCTGCAGTCCACTTCGTCAATGACACGGTGGTCATGGATGAAGACTCACAAGAAAACCGATTATTTTCAGCTTTCGAGCGCCACGACGAATTCGTAGCAGCTCAAAACACCCTGCTGGCGGCCGATTTATTCGTAGAGCCCAGTCGCGAAGAGGAAGATGTGGAACTTCATTGCAGTCGAAAATTAATCGTGATTGTAAGTCATCCATTATATCCAGGGTTGATGTACCTTGATATGGTCGAGAAAGTTTGGAGAATACCAAGAGCAATCGTATCTATTGGACCCGTACCTTGAAAGCCTCGTGTCTCCCGTCGCGGAATGCCTTAGAAGATATGCAATGGCATGCGTTAATGCACGAGGTGCTCAGTCTTCTCGTAGTCGTGTGGAACGCCTCGCAGATCTTCTTCATAACTATATCAAGTTCCGCGGGTATAAGACAATAAGTCGGTGGTACTTTCTGATATATCCCCCTTATATTCATTCCAAGCAGCTAGATTCTTCCCTCATGAAGTTTCCGATCTCTCGATCGCCTTGGATTTCATCCGGCTGCCGTCAGGGCTAGTAAAAGACCCCAGTCAATGGGGACTGCGATATGCCGTGCTACTTTGGCTATCTCTCATTTGTCGGATCCCTTTCGACTTACAGAAATTCGATGATACCACTCGATCCGGTGAAACAGCAAATGCGATCGAGCTCGTTGGAAAGGACCGCCTTAACATGGCTGGTTTAGAGCGCGAAGGAGCGGCTACCCTTTTGGCACGCTTCTATGCACGGTGAGCTCAATGCACGCGGATGGCATCCATTTATTGAACTTCTTTAAGAAAGGACACCAAGCAGCAATTCTCCTCTTTTGTCGAGTGGTCAATAACAGTTTTTCGCTCTTCGAATATCATCTTGGTAAGATGACTCGGTGCTTTCCGAAATGCGACTCACTTCAAGTAGTCTATAGGAGTATTACAAGTCCTTTGTGAATTGATGAAATCTGGTTCATCTGAACAACTCCAAGCGTTTACGCAACAGTTCTTGGAAATTACAGATACCTTAGAGCAAAGTGCCCCCTTGGCCAGCAACACATTGGTTCGAAAATATCGCACGAAATTGCTATCGCGCGTTGCGTTGCGTCTGATGCCTCCGAATATATTTAGATCCAAGTTAACATGTAATGTCGACTCACATCTCAACGTGGTCGATGATTTAATCTGTAATTTCACAGTCCGTAGTCTGGATGGTGATATCAAGAATGAGGCTCTCAAACGGAACGTAGATGATGGCGATGATGATATTGATGTTCCTGAAGAAATTGACACAATCTTAGAGTCTCTATTCAAGAGCCTGCAGGACAAGGTATTTGTTTGCATGTCACGCGCAAACATCAATTACACAACGTATAGGACACAGTGGTACGATGGTCAGCAGCCAAAGGCATTGCTCGCCTTTCAGAACGCCTTCCGTCGGATTTCTCCTCTCAGGTATTAGAGACCATTCTTGGTCTTTTCTCAATCCATTCTGTAGCAGGTGCAAGTGTTTATGACACTCCTGCCATCGCTGAGGCTACCTGGCATGGCGCATCTCTCGCGTCAGCAGAGATGGCACGCAGAGGTCTAGTTCAAACTGCTGCACTAGGAAGCCTCTTGGGCTGGCTCTCGAAAGTGAGAAAAGCCAGATATGAATCAACTGTTTTCACGTGATGATGATGTACATTAGGCCCTCTACTTCGACATACGTAAGGGGGCCCATTCCATTGGATCAAACGTACGGGATGCTGCGGCCTATGTGATCTGGGCTTTAGCGAGGGCACAAGATCCGGAATCCTTCTCTCCCTATGCTCGTGAACTCGCGCAGTGGCTCGTTTCTGTGGCGTTGTTCGACAGGGAAATTCACATTCGAAGAGCGGCTAGTGCCGCCTTCCAAGAACATGTTGGCAGAATGGTACACCTTGATGTGCTTGTCTCAGGTAAATTACGTGGAAAGTTCATGCAATGTGTTTCAGGCGCTGTTCCCACATGGTATCGACGTCCTTAGAAAAACCGACTTCTATGCAGTCAGCGTGCGGCGGAATGCGTTCATTGTCGCGGCTCCACAAGTCGCTGAGTAAGTCGCCCTTTCACAACGAAGAGCTGTCAATTCAATAAACGTTACTAGGCACCTGGAGTACAGATCATATCTGATCGATCACATCATTTCGATCACTTTGCGTCACTGGGATGTTGCGATGAGGGAGTTGGGTGCTCAGGCCTTGCGCCGGATATGCGAGCTCGACTTGAAGATACTAGGGCTGGAGTGTGCCTCGAAGATGGTAAGGAGACTGATTATTCAACGAAGGGTATTTCTCATTTTGCTGTAGGCGGGATTTTTAGACTCCGTTGATGTATCTGATGTGCATGGAGCACTTGCAGCATTGACAGGTATCTCTGAAGCGTACCGAGCTCAGGAGAGCGAAGAAAATGCAAGCAACCGGCAAAAGGTGCAGATGAAGTTCTCAACGCGTCTTTCTTGTTGATTGTCCATCAGATATTTGCCTTCATTGCAATTGTTTCCAAAGATGTTGTTATGTCTCCACGAAACGGTCTAGTACTTGCGGCGGCGTGTGATCTCATTGCAAGCAGCCTGACACTACAGGAAGTTGAGCTTCAGGAAAAATCATCCGTGCCCCATTGGAAAAGGATCATAGACCAGGGACTGCGACACAGAAGCTCTTCCGTCCAACAAGCCGCTGCCGCCGCCATAGCCGCAACAAGTTCCTTGATTGATTGCTCGCCAGATGTGCACAGATAAGATTAATCAACGCTACATTTTTAAGACATTAACTGACATGCCCCCCTTAGCACATTAATCAAGGACTTTCGCCGTAGGCCCTCAGTCCTTGCAGCAAAGTCTTGGCTATACTCTAGGTGTACTCAATTATAATGTGCATCCGCATGGTTTCTCTGAGGTAGTCAAGTGCTTGTTGGATAGTGTCGATTCCAACGTAAGATTTTTCCCTGGTTCAGGGCTTTATTCCGATTGAAGCGGTGATCGCAGTCCTCCGAAAGAATGTCGAGCATTGAAGCACGTCGAAATTGCTTCCAAGCGTTACCCAAGATCATCACGAATGTACTGCCTCGCCTCACCGAATGTTCGTGTTTTTATTTTATGTTCGGCGAATGTAAATGAAACATCTTTCCTCAGATCTAATCGCAGAAAGTATGTATGGAGTCCTTGATGCCCTTGACAGCGGACTAGATGATTACACGATGGATGAGCGTGGCGACGTTGGCTCGTGGGTACGAATGGCGTGCATTGAAGGTCTAGCATCAATTTTCGAAGATCTGTTTCGCGTTTCAGGAAACATACCTGAATTCGCGAATTACTTGCCTGCGCAGAGGTATCACAGTGTGATAGCCAGAATCCTTCGTCAGGGCGTCGAAAGACTGGACAATGTACGTCAAACCGCGGGACACTGTTTATTGCGATTGTTTCGCATCCCTCTCCCGACCGTTCCTCATCAAGAGGAATGGCGTATCAAAGGCTCAGAACTCATTATGAAGCTGTTTCTGACGTGAGTCGCTAACGATTAGTTGCTCGCACCTATCTCATCCAGAATAGTGACGCCTCGGGCACTATCACCAGTTGGAGTGTTGGGGAATGGCTATTTCCCAAAGCCGTAGAACTGCTCCGCGTACAAGAGTACAGACAATCCCTACTGACAGGTCTTATACATAGTGTAGGAGCTAGAACTGGAAGCACGGTCCGTCTCCTTTGCACTTTTGTGTCGCATCTCTGATGACGTCACTAGCACCGCCCAGCATCTTCAAGTCTGGTTTCCTTTGCGCAGGGCCTTCCATTATTAGCCGGCGATTCTGGCTATAGTCTGTCTGAGCTGTGTGACGACCTCATCGAGTGCGCACAAGGGAGAACGACGTCGAACGCGGTGGTGGTCCCTATCTTGCAAACGTTCAATATGCTTTTGGAGGCAGATGTATTGTCTCGCCTGTCCAGCGTTGACAACGGCCCATCAAAGTCGCCTTCGTTTTCCTCTCTCGGTCGAATCGAACTAACGAAGCTCTCAGGCTAGAGAGATTACTGAACATTGCAACAAGAAATGTACAGCGATTGAAGAATGTACAGCGAGTGCAAGAGTCCATGAAAATGTGGGATTATTAATCACACGGGAGCACTGCAACTGAGCAATATGTAGCGTCGTAAACCTCTTGGTCGTTTCCTCGGTTTCAAAATCATCCTCGGAGCGAATCATCGACTTCCTTTCTCACCCTTATCCAAAGGTCATATTTTTACATCACGGGTAGATGATACTGACGGTGGCTTAGATCCGGACCAGTACGGCTGAGTACCTCTACACGTTCATACAAAGCAGGGACCTCGGCTGGGAGGCAGATGAAGCAGTCGATGAACTTCTTCTCGAAACAGAATGGTATGTCTTTGAAATATTTCGTCCTTCAAATAGCTGACTTTATCACAGGTCTTCGGAAAGCATGGAAGTGAAGGTGGCAGCCACTCGCATCTCGGAGCTCCTCTCTTGCACAATTACCGAGTGATTAAAACGTTGTTCAGTGTATGGCCTATACGCAGGACCAAGCGCATGTAGATCATATCGTATGAACACCCTTACTTAGCTGAAATGTACTTTTTATGAGGGGGCGTGTTGTGATCTTAATGTGGGATGCGTGGGAAAGTGTCGGTTTGCAGTGGTCTGCTAGTTACTCTGGATCCGAAAGTACAATCTACTGCGCCCGCCAACGCCTAGCCTCACCTGTGCATCATGGCTGCAGACCCTCGCATGAGTGACGGAGAGCTAGCCGCAATCAATGCAGCTGCAGTGACGCGGGAATATCGCGTCCAACCACACCTTGGTGCGTCAAAAGCATAAGCATTGCAAGACGCCGAGTAGTTATTGACAAGCCCTCAAGACTACCGCACCGTTTCTGCGATCAATGGGCGAGTGTTGTTGCCATAGCCAATGAGTGACCTGACCGTGTTCCTACAGCCCGCTTGTGGTGCTTGATAATGTCAAGGTGCGCGGTGTTTTGATATTGGTTTTGATTTTGCTCTGGTCTTACATTGCCTTTGGTTGGGTTGTGCTGACCTACATACTTGCTTTTTTTTGCGCAGTTTCCTTCATACAATGAGATCGTACAGCTAACCTTACCCGATGGATCGAAGCGAGGCGGCCAGGTTTTGGAAGTTCAAGGAAAGAAGGCGATTGTTCAGGTGTTTGAAGGCACATCAGGGGTGGACGTCAAAGCGACGCATGTCGAATTCACAGGAAGCAGTATGAAGTTACCTGTGGCCGAGGACATGCTTGGCCGTATTTTCAACGGTTCTGGAAATCCCATTGATCAGGGTCCAAAAGTGTTTGCTGAGGATTACTTGGACATTAATGGTGCGTGGGTCTTGTGAAGACTTGGCCGGCTCTTGGTTGAACAGTAGAGCAGGATACCCAATCAATCCTTACTCGCGCATCTATCCTGAGGAAATGATCCAGACCGGGATTTCGACGATTGATACGATGAATTCAATCGCTCGTGGACAAAAGATTCCTATATTCTCTGCTGCCGGTTTACCGCACAATGAGGTACATATGAAGTCTACTAAGAATTAAAAAAAGCCGTCAAGGGAGCTAACCGAAATGCGCAGATCGCAGCGCAGATCGTACGTCAAGCCGGTCTGGTGAAACGTCCCACCAAAGACGTCCATGATGGACATGAAGACAATTTCTCTGTCGTGTTCGCAGCAATGGGTGTCAACATGGAAACCGCACGGTTCTTCAAAGAAGACTTTGAGTCAAACGGTAGTCTCGATCGCGTGACCTTGTTCCTTAATCTTGCCAACGACCCCACCATCGAGCGTATTATTACGCCTCGTCTTGCGCTCACTACGGCAGAATACTATGCATACCAGCTGGAGAAACACGTGTTGGTCATCTTGACTGACATGTCGTCTTATGCGGATGCCTTGCGTGAGGTGCGTTCTTCGTTTCTGTCGAGACTTTCTGGAAAGAGGCTTACCGTTCGCGGTGCGGTTCATGTGCAGGTTTCTGCGGCTCGGGAAGAGGTGCCTGGGCGTCGTGGCTACCCCGGTTACATGTACACAGACTTGTCGACAATTTACGAACGGGCTGGGCGAGTGCAAGGCCGGAATGGTTCTATTACTCAAATTCCCATTCTAACGATGCCGAACGATGGTGACGTCATACCGACTTTTTCTTTCAATGTTCAAGCGCTGATCCGATGTCAGACATCACCCATCCTATTCCCGATTTGACTGGGTATATCACGGAGGGGCAGATTTTTGTAGACCGGCAATTGCACAACAGGCAGATATACCCACCCATCAATGTGTTACCATCTCTATCACGCCTTATGAAGAGCGCGATTGGCGAGAAGCTTACGAGGAAGGATCATGGTGACGTTTCAAACCAATTGGTGGGTGCCTTCATATTAGCCGAAGTGACGATCTGACTTCCTTTTGAATTGGTGCAGTATGCGAAATACGCGATCGGTCGCGATGCAGCTGCGATGAAGGCTGTTGTTGGCGAGGAGGCACTGTCGGCTGAGGATAAGCTTGCACTGGAATTCTTGGACAAGTTTGAGCGTCAATTTGTTGGACAAGGTGGGTGAATTTGCCAAGGGGCGTGGTGAATTTTTCTGAAGGCTATGCAGGACCCTACGAGTCTCGTACTATCTTTGATTCGCTCGACTTGGCTTGGTCGCTACTTCGGATTTTCCCGAAAGAACAGCTTAACCGTATAAATCCGAAGATTATCGCAGAGTTTTACGGGAGGAAAGCCACGAAGAAGGCTAGTGAGGAAGAAGAGGAGGAGAGATTAATTGATATGTAGCGATGCCTGCCAGTGATATGGGTGAATCTCCATGCGCTCCGAACTAGAAACAAAGTCAAGTTGTGATTGGAACGAGGCATGAAATATATCCGTGGTGTGCGGAATTATCAACGTTGATAGCACGAGTTTTTCCGGGTTCGATCATGGAGTGAGCTAGCGTGTACTTGGAAATTTGGTTGTGGTTGATAATTTAAGAGATACATGTGTAGCCTAGGATCTCCCTTCAAACTAGACAGCGTGGTATACAGCTGGCCAAGCTTCGCGGTGTACGTCAGGTAAGTAGCATATGGCAGTTACATGTGTTCGCCCTGAGTTGCCTTTATAACGAAACCCATCATTTTTCACTAGTCGACTCCCTTTTTATCTTGAACCACCAGCATGAGCGATTTCGCCGGTCATCAACTCAACTGTAGAAAACGAAAACTCAAGAACGACAACGAGGATGAACAAATATCAGATTCAAAATCCAATGCAAACGACGATACTGGTACTTCTAGTATCATGATACTCGACCCAACTTATGCTCCTCGTCAACCACCACCTTCAATATCGACAGACCAAGCCGCACGTGCTGTATGGCCATCAGAACCCAATTCTCCCATCCCGACACTCACAGAGACGAGGGCTAACAAGCGCCCAAGAGTCGATACCCACAATCTACAATCTTTTAAATCTCATAGGCGTTCAGCTATTAAGACTCCTTCATCACCTCTTACTCCCTGGCGAACTTCCTTCAGAAAAACGGAATCACGCCCTAATCATCTAGACCCTCACTGTACTGCTATCGATTGTTCTCCTCTACCCGTACACCCTCCAGTCGACTTATCATCTCCTCATATCCCCGCAATGCACCCCCTCATCAACAGACAGACACTCAAAGAACTTGATCTTGACTCTATCCTCCGTAATCCCCAACTTCGTCAGTTTTTATTATCAATTTAACTTATCATATGTCTAATATATTCCACAGGACATGATCTTCTCTTTGACGCTGGTCTCCAGTTTCGTCCGACATCTGGTCGACGTAAACGCGATCTATCCGATAAATATTGGTCCGCTATTGCACAAGAACTCCAAACAGGCTGCACCTGCGTTTCCTTTGATCTTCAGTGGAAACCCCACGACCTCCTCTGCGTTTGCGCCCAAGGCCCTATACCACAAGTACCCAGCCTCACCTACTGCTCCCCTCTCCGAGCACTCACACTCCGCATGCCTTCCCGTATCCGTCACCTTCTCACAGAATTTCTTGAAGTATTACTCTTTGTCATACAACCCCTTACAAGCATATGCGGCACCTACGCCAATCCTGCAACTCTCCAGACGCAAATCGAGCAACACGCAGCTCAGGCCGCCCATCTCAGATCACTATTTGATCCGGAGCTTATTCAGCAAGAGCTTCACCACCAACTCTTCGATCCATCAGGACTTTTCATCGTCATTGGCCAGACTCTCAAAAGCCACTGTGCCCCCATGCGCGATCGTCTCGTGGACGCTATGGTTGAAGCAGCCAAAGCTTGCGCCCCAGGCTGCGGTGGCAGTAAAGCGGACGCGGTCAAGGCGGTTCGCATGTGCCTCGATATATTGGAACTCATGAAACTGGCAAGTCTCTCCCAAACATTTTTCTTCCCTGTCCTGAAGGCCTTCTGCTTTAGGATATTGCGAACCATCAATTACAAACCCTCCGCCCATTCCTCATAGAAACCGCGGGTCAATACGAGCTCAAGGCGTTCAAAGGCCGAAAGGGGGCAGGTGCCTCACTTGACCTCACCCGGAAATGGATACGAACGGCATACCACCACCTCATGTCCTCGTCCCACCCAATCCCACTCTCACTTCCCCATCCGTCCCACCCTTCCAACACCATAACTCTAAATTATCGCCAACTCCCACAAACGCAACAAATATACCTGAGCGTGCTCAGAGCGCTCACGGACCTCGTTTTTGAGCCACCTTGCGGCCCATCCCCCACGCCCGTTCCGCATTCTCACTCTCTCCAACGCGAACGCGTGTCGAAATCGAGCATACCATATCTCCCTTTATACCCCGAAACCACGTATTTGGACGGTGCACGTCTCTTGGTGTTATCTGGCGAAGCAGCGGACGCTACTGCTATGTACATGTTCCTTCTTTTGTTTAGGCAGCTGGCGTTTAGCGATCCTGACTCCAATGCTTGTGGCGATCCGAGTTCCAGGGTGGTTGTGACAGATGCCCAACTCGCTTCGCTTAAAAAGGAAATCCGAGATATCTCTTCGGGGCATCTTGGACATTGTTTTGCACAGGTAAAGGGAGATAGTGATAGTGAGAGATGGGCAAAGGTTAGAGAGGACATTGTTTTGCAGATCGCTATGCGCGCGAAAGAGGCTCGTTCCCCTTCTACACTTTTGTCGAGCTCTCCACGGCCACGGAACCCAGAATCAGCATCAGAACCGGGGTCGGATTCTCAACCTCAATCGAGGGTCCTCGCTTCCGCACCAGACGAACGCATGCTCAAGCTAGCCGAGCGCTGGTCCGACACGAACATGCGTCCCAACTCGCCGCTGAGCACGCTGCTGCGCAAGAGGATCCGCGATGTTGTATTTAATCAAGTCGTGGCGCTCACTTTTCCTTCTGCTTCTTCACGCCATTCTGGCACGAGCACGAGCACGACGAGTCTAGGCAAGTCATCAAACTTTACATCCCTCACCCCTCCTTCTGCGTTATCCTCGGGCATGGAGCCTCTCGCAGATGAGATTCGCTTACTCTCTGAACGACTCTCGAGGTTGGCGCATATCCATCTGGGGGTGTATCTTCCGTTGTATGAACAGGAGGAGTT